TAACCTCAAATGTGTGTTAAGTCCCCAAACCTCCAACCTTTCATCAGATATGCAATCTACTGTTCTTTGAAGACCAGACATTTGTGTGGAACATTATCAAGCGTTCTGTTGAAGTCACCACAGACTGTTTCTACTGAAAATCCATTTGAACAGAGCCAGTTAGTGAGAAGTATTCAAATACTCCTAAACCAGTTATAATGTTCCCTGAGGTAGGTTTCTTTGAGATGCTTCATTTAGTTCCTTTTTATTGTTATATTTATCATATTCCTACAGGTGTTTGGGAGATTCACTGGTTTGAAGTTATCTGATAGCATCATTCCGTACCTTTTATATATGGGGTTTATGTTGGCATAAATCATCAATCATCAGGAACTTTCGAAGATCTTAGTTTCTGAGGTCATCCATAACTTTGCCCCGGGCCAAATAATTTGTCGATTTTTGCTGTTCCGAAGTTCCCCTTTTGTGCCAGTGATGATCCTATCGCTGGATGTCGTAGTGAGATACATAATCTCTTGTCGAAAGTCAGTACCGTGGTATACACGTACAGGAAGAAGTCGGACTAGAGCTCAGGTTTTTCTTAGCTGAGTTGTCGGATAATATTTCCCTATAAAATAGTGTCCACAGCATTATCCGAAGTACAGGGTGTATGACACAGCGCACGTATATAATGGAATCATTACGTACAAAGTTGCGGTTTTTAATGAGCAAGGGGTGAGGGTTGTAACGTACTGCACGAAATAATGGATATCGCAGAACGGGATTAAAACCGCAGAAAACGAGGCGTCCCTCTGCACTTTATTTCCGGTGACGGGCTTAGACGTCATGGCCCCACCTACAGCCTTTTCTTTGTCCTTCTGGCCCGGATTTTTGATGGGACTAGGCGAGGTTGTACTAACAGGGTCGAATAAATGTCGACTTTCCGTCTTTAGAGGTTGAGTCGAGAGTACTATACGGTAGAGTATCGAGCTAGCAGCGAAAAAAGTTCCCAAAGATGGTATTGTTGCTAGTGTTGGCCAGCAGCAGTAATTCTTTAGGAGATAAAATTGGTAGTTCCTTGAATGACAGCAGTTAGGAACGGGGGATAATTGGCCCAAATGCATAGTGTTCCCAGTCTCTCTTCGGTGCCATGGAACTGGGATTCCGCTCCAAACAAGACTGCGTCGGCGGATGGTTGCTCGTTGTCGGTTGAAGAATTCACCGGTCGCGGGCCGCCGATTCGGCATCGTTGTTTGCAAGATGAAAGCTTTCACAGGACGCAGAGGACATGAACAACACCAAGCCGGAAGGGGGAGTCCACCGAGTTGGCACCAAATTTGTGAACATGCCCTGAATGTAGAAAACTAGTGATTATTCTCTAAAAGGGAAGATAAGTGTGCTGAATTTTAATAACTGTGGTTAGCTTCTTACGCATTGCAAGGACGTTTACCGAAAACAACTTAGGGTATCTACCTATGAGTGACCGAGGAAGAAATAAAAAGACATCGCACTCACGGGTGCACCAGGAATGGTCAAACTCTTAAAAGTAGTATGATAATTAAAAGTATATCTAATAAAATGTAAAATATTAAAACAGTTCTCTTCTGCAATCGGCGAAGCCAAAAGTTATCAAGGTTTGTAAGCGCAGAACCTTGTTCGTGCATCAAGGTACAGTGTTCTGAAGTCTGAAGTTCTGCATTTAAAAATTTCCCGTTCGTACTCCATTTCTGTGTTTAGACTGGAATCTCTGTATATTGTCTGCATACAGTAGCAAAATGTGCAAGCTTCTGAATATATATATCCTTCGTCACGAGTAATCTATCTTGAACCAAACTGAATAATCCGCGAGTTTTGTGTGTAGCCCGCTGCCTTTGTAATAGAAATGGAAGCGTCTGCTGAGTGTAAGCTTTCGGGCGTACCTTCCTGTGAGTATTATCCAGACTGGAAAAAACGTGAAGTTAGCACTGGAGTAAGTTGTTTATAACTTTTATGAGTGGTTTAGACCACTCTCGTGGCTTGCCAGTTCGATGGTGGCGTCGTCATCGGTGCCGACTCTCGGACTTCGAGCGGGTAATGTTAATTTAATTTTAATTCTTTTAGTACTTATGTTGTAAACCGCGTAACGGATAAGTTGACACCGCTGACGAAGTACATATACTGTTGTCGTTCAGGATCGGCTGCTGATACTCAGGCTATAGCTGATATTGTGCGGTACCACCTCGACTTTCACGCAATAGAAATGGGCCGCGAACCGACTGTTTTCGAGGCTGCAACAGTTTTTCGTAATTTGTGCTATAACTACAGGGATGATTTGCTTGCGGGTAT